GGAGTCAGGCTGCTCGGCATGGGAAAATCTTTGAAGTGCGTGGCGGCCTGGCCTAATCAGACTCCCTTCAAGAGGCTCGGAGCACTTCATTAGATTGAGGTCTAGCTGTTTTCCATCTAGAGTTGACTTGGTTTGAGGGTGTTTCAGGGACTGAACTTAATACTTTCAATTTTCAGTTTAACTTTTACTTTCTTTAACTGAAAAGGTATAAATATGGGAGACCATATTTCCAGAATCCAAACTGGGTCTAACACTGGTGGACTGTCCCCCTAAAATACAGGGCACGTGATCAGACCGCAGGCCCAGAGGGAGGAAGAATCAGACTCCTGATAGGAAAAGAGGAATCGTCCTTTGATTCGGATGCTAGCTTTTGCTTTCTCCCTAAAGTAATACGACTGCTTTTGTGGGGGTTCCGCTAGCAATATGGAGGCTGGAGGCGCAAGGAGCCAGCACAACACGAAATAAAAAATTTCATCCTCTTCATTCAGACATCAGCCTGGAGGTAAGAGAATTAGGCGGCTGGTCATTTTCCCCCACACCTACAATCCACTCTGGGCCGTGGGATGTAATGAAATAGAAACTTTCTGAAAGGTGGCGCAAGGGGTTAAACACAGCACTATGAAGCTGTCCTCAGCCTCTGCCGAACGAATTAGATCCCGGCTGGTCAGGGAGCAACCCACATGGCACAGCAGACCTCTCCTGTCTCTCCCGCCGCTCCCCTCAGCAGTGTATTTCAGTGGATCCACCTGTTCTGCTCCCCACTCTGTCTCTGGGGAATCCTCTCACCCCCATACCCCTGACCTATACCCTATTTCTTGTATACATAAATAAATCTTAAAAAAAAAGAAAAGAAACTTCCTGAAGCTATCCAGTGCTGTGTGTAAGGAATGAAAAGTCTTAGTGTATGGGACCGTGTCAGACGAGCAAGGTGACTCATTTGGGTCTAGGGGGACGGATCATTTTGCCTTCAACGCTCATCAGCTCAATGCATCATCATTCAGGGAGCAGTGCTGGGGAGCAGGGCCGGGCTCTGCAGGGCAGGGCCAGGCTGGAGGCCATCTCCTTGGAATACAAGGGAAGCCTCGAACTTTCCGATGTCACTGAACCTGAAAAATCACCCACTGCTCTCTCGTCCCCAGGATGCTGAGGATGATAGTAAAATGGATATGTCCAGATCTTTGAAACTGAAATAACTAAGAAGAACTTTTCATATGCTAGCGGGTTCGCAACGACTGTGGCTAGAGAGTTAAAGTTTATGGGAGTAACGCCCGGCCCTCTGGCCACTCAGCCTTGGTTCCCCAAGCCAATGCTCCGCTCGCGGACAGTCAAGTCCTTAGCTTTCCCTTCATCTCCCTTTTCCCTCCTTCAGTGTTGGTTGGCGCCTCCGGCATCAAGTGCATTGAGGGAAGGACAGCGAGCAAAAACCGAAACCTGCACCATTTTGCATTCCCTTCGGGGTCCAGTGGGAGAAGAGGCTAAAGCAAAGGTCTGGAACCGTGGACTTGAGCTGACCAGCAGGTGTAGGACGCACAGCGCTAGCACCACGGCCACCTCCTCCCCGGGGGCTGCCTGTCCCAGGGAGATGTTTTAGAGCAGAACTGTCGGCTCTGAGTAAATCCCTGGGGACAAGGGATGCGAAGACACCCCCTCTCGCCTCCCCCCCTCCCCGGGAATCACCAATTGAGGAAAAACACAAAGTTCACAGAAGAATTAAATACAAGTTTAGTTTTTCTTTCTTTAGAGAATTAAAATTCCCTTTACCTGGTTTATAAAGCAAGAACTGCAAATACAAGAAACTGCTACATTGAGTGGTGCTAAGTATGTGCCTCAGTGAGGACTCGGAGGGTGGCGAAGTTATGATGGAAAAGATCATGTCTACAAATGTATAGACATGTAGGGGCAGGAAGACACGGGGCAGGTTCTCTAGGATCCCATGCAGACGGGGTGAAGGAGGAAAGAGTCCTGGAGCCTCAGTGGCTTTTGCAGGCTTTTATTGGGGTTTCCTAGGTACACGGCAGGCAGGGGTGCAGGCAGGCGTCCCAGCCCCCAGCAAGTCTTTACTCTTTCTGGGTTCTCTCTCGTGGTTCTCTGCTTTCGTTTCTCTGCTGCTGCTTCTCTCAGCTTCTCTCTCGGCTTCTGCTGGCGTCCCCGTGATGCCGCCCTTAAAAGCCCAGTCTCAGCCCAGGTGAATCCCATCTACCTAGGCCCACACCTATTCCGGGTGCCCGCCATCAGGCATGCATTCGGGACCACAGGGTTCCCTCATCCATCCTAATGGTGGGAGGGCAGAAAAGCCTGATACTTTTTACCTTACCCTACAATATATAAGGGCCATTGTCCATTAGAAACCCAAGAGGTGACTCATCCCAAGAGTTAATGGCCGTGGAACAGGTACAAGCGTCCAGGACCCTGCACCCAAGACGATGTCCTTTGCAAGCCCATCCTAGCTCTCAGGTGGGGGCCTGAAAGACCAAGAAGGGTGACAAAAGTTTAAACCTACAGGAACAGCTAGCGAAGCAAAGGTGGAGAGGGAGGAAGCAGAGAAATGGATGAGAAGTTGGGGAAGTAGGGACACATCGACCGAGAAAGTGATTATGAACTGTCCCTTCCAACAGCTTTTCAAGAATATTAACTCAAAACACTCTTTTTCAGCTTGTTTGGTTTGAATCGCTGTAAGTTATGGCTGCCCTTTCAATTGCTCTCAATGGCCCTAATTCTTCAATCCTGAAAGGGTCAGTTCCTATGGCTGAAGTGAGGGGGAGAATTAAACTGAGGGTTTCTGGGAAAAGCAATTCTACTTTGGGCTGAAAGATAATACGCTCGGAACCACAGGTCCCCGGTTCCTTGGCCAGAGAGCGGGGCTGATTGTCCAGTTCTAAGCAGAACGCTGCTTAGATCTGCCGGAGAGGCAGCTCCTGGCTGGCCAGCAGGCCTCGGCATCTGGCTGTCAGCACTCCACATTTGCTATTAGTGATCAGTCAGTGATTTTTAAATCGCTGCATGTTGGCAAGTTTCCTCTAATAAGTGATTGACTGTTCAAAGAGAGGCCTTGCGCTGGATCCACGCAGCTGTACTCTAGAAGTTCACCAGACATTTGTTTAGAGTGATAACATCTGGCCAGCTTTCAAGACACTTTACTCTTCTTGGGTGGATGGTGGTGGTTCAAGGTGTGTTCTGCCTAATGGAGAAATTAGCTGATTGGAACTGTCATCCCTCAGGCCTCCTCTGTCACAACATGCTTCCCAAGAAGTTGTCTGGACGTTAACAACGACCAGGACAGAGCTGTGATGCAGGCATTGGGGAGGTCTGGCCTGGCGTGGAAACAGACATCGGTTCACCTCTTATTTCCCCCAAAGTAAATGTCTCCCCCATATTTATCAGAGTGATAAACTGATACCTGAGGCCAGGAATGGTCCCAACAAACCACTGTCCCATTTCCATGAATTTAACTTGTCTGCCCGTGTCTGACTCTTCACTGCCGCAGCTCTCTGCCAGTGAGACCGGCATTCTGGGACGTGCCAAGTTCCTGGCTCTACATTACAAAACAGCACAGAGGGGAATTCTGAGGTAGCTGATTAGCAAACACTATAGAGAGTCGCCAGGCAGGCCCTTGTTTCCGTGGCCCTATTACTTCTCCCAGGCAGCGCGTCGCCTGGCCACGTGGGCACTGCCCTGCGTGCTGTAACTCGAGCTGCCCACGCTGCTTCGTTCACACGGAAGCAAACTCGGCTTATTTTGCGCCATAAACACAAGCCAATCCCAAACAGAAAATTCCCATTAAACAGTAACCCGAGAGTCTCTCAGTAATCAGGGCAGGAGTGCCACCAACGCCACTCAGAATGGACTTTAGGTCTGCAGGTGTGTCCACAAGCAGGCACAAGGTTGCCACTCACATGGAGGCAAGTTAGGGGCTGAGATGAATAAGGAATCACACATGGGGCCTCCCCGGTGGCCTAGGGGTACAGTCTCAGCCGCTATCACCATGAAGGCCTGAGTTCATTCCTTGGCCAAGGAGGTGCCCCACATGGGAAGGCTCCCATCAGCAGTGTATTTCAGTAGATCTGTTCTGTCCCCCAGTTTCTGGTGAATCCTCTCACGCCCCACCTCTGACCTACACCCCAGTTCTTCTACACAAAAATAAATAAAATCTTAAAAAAAGGAAAAAAAGAAATGAATCACACACTAGAGGGGGTGGGCGGAAAGCTTCCCCGATCAGGCTGTGTTCATCCTGACTTTCTGTGAGTAAAGCGTTTGGGTGGGGATACTGTTTCTATCCCCCAACTCCAAATACCAGCTTACCGAGTAATCACACAAGCTAACACCAACCTGTGTGGACTTGGCCGAATGCATGTGGAAAGCAATGACTCCTCATTGCCCAGCAAGCAGGTTCTTCTATTTCCCTCACATTCTCAGTTGGAGACTCCAAGGCTTGGGTGGTCTGAGGACTAGGTGAGCCCCTACAAACTGCTAAGAGGCAGAGCCACATCTGAGCACAGATGCAGCTAATTCCAGAATCTATATTTTTAATCTTGCTAAATTCTCTCTCTCTCTAACAAAATAAAAGTTCTACTGACAGGAGAGATTTAAATGACATCACAAATCTCCAGCGTTTTCTCTCCTCTGACCAGGGAAGGCTTTGCTATTCAGCATCAGTGTAAACACTCATTTCCCACTTATCCAAATTCAGAGTTTTTTTCCCCCCATCTAAGATACATTTCCCTAGCTTTGCAGGGTCTGCAGTTCCGCACCAAGGGATCTAATCTAATTCTGGCCCCAGGCAGGATGACTTAAGTCATCCCAAAGAAAAGAAGGTTGATGTAATCTACAAAGGTCGCCCTCAGTCCCACCTAGCAGAGAGCCAAGCGATAAGGATCACTTACTTACCTGCCTGGGTTTCCACAAAGTGCTTCTGGAGCTTTCTAGAGGAAAGGTACAGCACAAATGCAAATTAAAGGCAACATAAAGCAACTCAGTTCCCATCAGCATAACCCTCTAACCCAGAGAAAGAATACTCGAGGCTCCAGGCTACAATGCCAGTCTTCGTCAGAAAATATATTTATTATTGATAGCGAGTGAAGTAAAGATGTCAGTATTCATGATAGAGAAGAGGTTGTATAAGCCAAGGCTGCCTTTCTATGTTGATAAAAAAATGCCTTCTTTCACTTGCAATCATAAACATTATTCTTTTTGTCTTCTTACTTACATGATCACCATAATAAGTTAAGATGAAATAGCTCTTGTCTAGTCAAGGGAGAAAAAAGAAAGAAAGAAAATGGACACGTGCCCCATCTACAAAACGGTTGCCCCAAGATTGGGGGGGTTTACCCTCGCCTCTCCCCTTTCCATTTAACTTAGCTCCCCCCATTGGCTTGTCAGCATGGTGCGTCCACCAAATGATGGCGCTTGGTTAGGAGAGAGCTGAACAGAAATACGGAAGGAGGAGAGGGCTGCCTTTCTCTTTTAATCATCAGAAATAGGGTGGGTGACCACTGGGGCGTGTGCTTGACGGTGCTCCCTGATCTCGGCCTTGGCATTGCCAACCACTGTCGATCAAATGGTGACGTGTTGCTGTTGAACCTGCCCTCTGCTGATTCTCTTTACTGTCTCTCTTCACATGGGTTGCTTTCTTACTAGGGAAAAAAAAAAAAAGTTCCACCTCTGGAATTAATGTTGAAGGAGTTTTGCTGGTTCTGAGGTTGATTTTATCCTCCCTTTTCAAGCTTGCTCTGCAAGAGAAACAGAAACAAAAGTTTTAGCACCAGAAGGGAAGGATCCCCAGATGGCTGTGACCATGTTGGACTGTTTGTATTGCTTTTCAAAGATCGACTTCAAAAACACATGAAGCGAGGCACGTGTGCCTTCTGGTCTCAGAACACCACTACCTTTAATGAGCTCCCTTGCTCAGGCAAGCAGCACCCCGAAATGACACGGAATGGCTGAAATGCTAAGGGCGAGGGTGGCCCGGAGGGTGGCTATGTGCTATCTTGCTACCAGAGACCCCTGGAAAGGTGTGGGAGCATTCCTGGGGGCAAGAGTGAAGGGGGAAGGCGAGCCATGGCCATGGTGGCAGGGGTGGCTGGGTGGGGTGGGGTGAAGGTAAAGCTGCAAAGGCTCTGAGAAGGCATCTCTCAAGTGAAGAAGATTCTCTCCCTGAAATGCTTATCCACTCTAGGCCGAATGCAGATGTCCCTGCTGAAGATGCTGGGGGTAGGCGGGGGGCATCCAGGTGAGCACATGCTGGATACATGTACCCACAAAGTGTAGCAGCCACGCGCAAGCATTGGCCTTGGGAAGTGGCCCTCCTCTACTGCAGCAACGGCCTCCGTATTCTGTCGAGTCACTTGCTGATGTGGGTGGTGGCAGCAAGGACTCTGCCACGTTGCGATTCTGTGGCTACCCGGGGCGGGGTCAATCATCTCCGTTCTTTGGGGTCACGCAGCAGAGAAAAGTGATGCTTTAGTTCTGAAACCACTCAGGAAGAGGAGACTAGGTCAGGCCAGAGGTGGCCTCTAGTTCCTCTTCATGCTTTCTTCTTCCCTTCAATCTTCACCCTTCCGGCCACTTTATTTGCCAAGGTTTTTAAACAAGCTCTGAGGCACTCACTGCCTGGACTCTGTTGCTATGGGGAAACCAATACACATATTCCGTGGGACACTGATCCATAGTACCAGCAGTAATTTGCTATTTTTTATATATTTGCTAAACAAATACTAAAACTTTATTTTACTGAATATACATACACACAGTATTCATTCAGGAAGAACAAAAGAATATAAAGGAAGAAGGAATTCCTTCCTTCCCCCTGCTGCCCAGTGTCTTGTGGACTCTTCCAGAGAAGGTGCAGTTCAAAGGAGTGGCCTTTCTCGAGGGACAGAGTACAGGGAACCCTTGAACAGCACCATCTGAGCTGCAGGCATCCACTCCTGCCCGGATTTTCTTGTAAACAGACATTAACTTAATGGTATTGATAAGTACCAGGCACTACTCTAAATGTATTTTCTCTTGTGATTTTCTTAATAACATTTCTGGTCCCTAGCTGACTTTACTATGAGAATACAACATGTAATACATGCAACATATGTGTTCATTAACTGTTATCAGTAAGGTTTCCAGAAGTTTCGGGGAAGTCAAGCTTTACATGCGGAGTTTCCATTTATGGGCGCTCAGTGCCCTTAGCCCAAGTTGTTCAAGAGTCAACTGGATGGGCAGACGGGAGGTGGGTGGGCTCGGGGAGGGCAGGGAGTGGGGACAGGCGCAGGGTGCTTGGAGGATGGAGGAGAGAGGCAGGCCTGGAGTCCATCAAAGGCCTTTAAAGGAGAGCGACATTTAGGACAGGTACCCCAGCACCCTTACACAGTGGATGACCAGAGGAGTGTCCACAGGCAGACAGACCAGGGAGGAGTATTTGTGTTTTCAAAGCGTACCAACCACACACACACTATGCACGTTGGGAAAAAGGTATATATGACAAATCAAGCAAGGCTGGGGGCAAGAAATAGATGAGTCATAAAAAGACACAGAAAGAGACATTAGGATGGTGACATCCAAGCTTCGGTGGAAACCTCGTGACAGGAAGGCAGGCGGGGCAGAGAAAGATGCCTGCGTGGTGGGCGGGAGGTGCTGGCCGGGGTGAGGAGGGCCAGTCTGGGAGGACACACCCCTGATGAGAATGTCCAGAGTGAAGATTCAGGCTTGGGAAGAGAGGTCAAGGATTTCAAGTCAAAGAGGAAGGAGAAATGACTGCCACAAAGGGGTGAAGAGAAAGTGGAAGGACAAGTAAGAGGACACTGGGCCACGGGTGGGCAGATTATTTTAATAAGCAGAGAGATGGGTTTCTAAGAAGAGTCAGTCGTAGGGCGCCAACAGAGTGTCAGGTGTAAAGGCAGGAAGCCAGAGGAAGCACACAGAAAAGACTATAAGGGGGAGATGAGTTAGAGGGGCTGGCAGCAAGCAGAGGAAGCAGGAAGGCGAAGCAGGGTCTGCGGAGACTGCTCCATGGAGAGGCGTCTCGAGAACTAACACATGACGATCTCTGGTCGCTCAGACCTCTGGTCATGTGAGCCCTGTGTTTGCTGGAAAAGCTGAAACTTAAAACTCCTGTACAAGTCAGTTTTCCAGGACCAGAGCCCCTCATTTATCCTCCAACCCTTGGGACTCGATCTGCATGAAAGTTTCTCTAACCATGTGGAAAGGAGACTCAAAAATTCCAGGCCCAGAAACCACCTCAGCGCAATGCTATGAGCATGCGTGGGTGGGCAGCAGGGCAGCTGCACACCGAGGCCATGAAAGGGCATTTGGTTTCTCAAGAGAACGATGTCTTCACCAACGATGCTGTGTGGCATTGTGGGGCTGATACACACACCACTTTCGGCTTGAAGCTGCCACAGGCCTGGTGGAGATGCCGTGGCTGTGCCTCCTCCTGCAGCTCTGGGTCAATGCCCCAAATAAGCCAGTGACCACAACATAATTAAAGCAACAATAAAAGTGTTTTTTAAGAGTTCAGGGAACCTTTTTATGATTTTTTTTCCTGCAACCCCAACCGAATACCAAAGGATAATTTTTCAGCTGGATCATGTAACCCTAAGAATGTCAGACTCTAAGACAGACAACAGGGCGCTGGCTGGTTGAGGATTAGTGGGGCTGGTCTGACACAGGCACACTATATATATTTTTTAAGATTTATTTATTTATGCATACAAGAGCTGGGGCATAGACCAGAGATGCGGGGAGTGAGAGGATTCACCAGAGACAGAGTGGGGAGCAGAACAGGCAGACAGACCAAAATACACTGCTGAGGGGAGCAGTGGGCGAGTCAGGAGAGGTCTGCTGCGCCATGTGGGTTGCTCCCTGGCTGGCCAGGGATCGAACTCGTGCTGCAGAGGCTGTGGATTGCTTCATAGTGCGGTGCTTAACCCCTTGCGCCACCAGGGAGGCCCTAACACAGGCATGCTAAAATAACACTTCTGAGCAAATCTATAACCCAGGGAAAGAAGCTTACTCACAAAACACCAAGCTACATGCATTACAATGCTAGTCCTCAAGGACAGCACTGTGCCAGGCTGATTCGCTGGTGACACCTGAAGACAGGAGGGCTGGGCTGTGTCTACCAGGACTGGTCTATAATTTAACAATGTGACATCCAGGGAAAGGAGACGTTCCAGGTTCCCTGTTCCACCCAAGGAAGGGTGTAGATGAGCAGGGAGGAAAAGCTAAAAAAGACCAAGAGGAGGACTTGGGGAAAAAAGGAAGGAAGGAAAATCTGGGAGAGCACAGGAGGAGGCACATGGAACAAAAAGATGTGAAGCAGCAGCCAGGCTTGCTTCTCAGCCTTGGGCTTGTAGATCATGGAAGGAGACACTTCAAAGAGACAAAGGCGTGGGTGAGAGACCCGGCGGAGGCTGACAGAGGCAGCCTTTATCTTGACTTGTGTTCTGATATTGCTCCTTTCCTTCCAGATTTGCCTGGCCCCTTCTGTCCCTTCATACAGGTTCCCACCAGAAGGTGCCTTAGACCTGTGGCAGGCTCTTGGGCCTCAGTGGCCCCGCTTTGGGCCAACCCTGTTTGGCTGGGCATTTACCCACGAGGAGATACGTAACTTTGGGTGTTTCATGGGAAAACTATTTTAACTACATCCTTTCTCTTCCCTGTATTGCACACTGATTGTATTAAAGTTCTTTTCTAGTGAAGGTTTTCCACACTAAGAGTATGTTTTGACTTGACGCTGCAGATGGCAGAACCCGTTTTAGAGCAGGCAGGTTTGGGGTCCTGGGGTGCTCTTCATTATGCCCTCTAACATACTCATGTTGTCAAACTGCACTCACTTGCCACCAAAGCGTGGCAGAGGAGGTACAAAACCATCCTGCTTCTTTCAGGGACATTAGCAGATAAAATGTCAAGTTGAATTTTTAAAATGATGAATTAATAGGTAAAACAGCTATTATGCCTGCACCTCCATGCGGTCACGCCCGCTCCCACCCGGACCAAGGGCCTTTGGCTGAAGGGATCCTCAGGCCCTATAGGGTCATGTCCTTTAAGGTCCACCTCACAGGTTCTCCCGTAGTCTCCTTATTGGTTCTGTAAGTAGCTGCTGTGGGGCTGGATCTCAACACTGCATAAATTTAACACTGCATAAATTAACATAGGAAATTCCCCTGAGAATCAGGGAGAAGATTTGCAAAGTTATAAAAAATTGCTTCCTTCGTTTAAGGAACTGCTAACACTTAATCTTAATGTGGAGAAAGAAATTCCTTGCACTGGCTCATCATTCACATATTCGGGCCTGCGGCAACTGCCTTTGCAAACAGCTGGGGAAACCACCAAAGGGAGAGAACTGCAGGGAGGGAGGCCCTGCCCCCAGGTCTCTTCAGATGCCAGCCACGAGGGAGGGAGGGAGGGAGGAAGGGAGGAAGCAAGACTGGCCACTCCTGTCAAAGGGCAAAATCCCTGGAGCCCAGGTGTGGCACTTCCATTAATGAAAATGAACTGAACCGTTTTCCTCCAATATTTTTGTGACCCGGCCATCTCTCAACTGACTTTTGAATCACAGCTTTCCTGGAGAGGCTGGTCATCACAGTGGGCTCAGCTCCTGCTGTCTCCATACAAGGGAATGTATAGCAACCCTGGATTATTATTTTTTAATTAATTTATTTATACAAGCACTGGGTACAGTCAGAAGCGCGGGAGGATAAGAGAATTCACCAGAGCCAGAGCAGGGAACAGAACAGGC